AATAGTGTCAGGTAATATGTTTTAAATATTATTATTTTAAATAATATTTTATAATTTAAATTGGTATCAACCATAAAACATCAATTATTGAATGATAAAATTTTCTACCCAAGGGAGCTTTTTCTTTCATTCAATAATTCTTTTAATAACCCATATTTTGAAATTTAAATTGTAGAATATTTAATTTTTATTAATTATTTATTACTTTTAAATAAAAAGACCCTTTTAATTTCTTACTTGGATTGAACTTTTGGATTTTGAATATATGATTTTACAGTTGGATGTTATGTTGATTACTAGGAAATGATATACTTTTTGTTAGGCCAACTCTCTACCAAAGATTATAAATTCACAATGCTGAGGTGGTATTAACTAGTGATATATGTATACCACCTTCAACTGCAAGCAATCAATTCTATAAACATGTTATGATTGTTCGTTATAATGTCATAAGTGAAATTGGAAACATAATATTGTTTAAGTATTAATTAACTTGATCCATATATATGTGACAGGTTCACCTAGACTACCTTGATGCCGGAGCTAATATTATTATAACAGCTTCCTATCAGGTAAACTCCATGCTACAGTTTAACATCATTGAAATATTTGTAACATAGGTTGATGGTGATAAAGGAAAAAAAAATTAACAGAGATTGATGTTCTTAAAGAACCAACTTATTAAGTTTGTCTTCTATATATGTTTGACACAGGCAACCGTTCAGGGCTTTGAAGCCAAAGGCTTTTCCAGTGAAGAAGCTGAATCTTTGCTTAGAAGAAGTGTTGAAATTGCTTCTGAGGCTCGAGAAATTTATCGCGAAAGATGCACCAAGGACTCTTGTGACCTGGTGCAAAATGAAAGGATTGCAGAGCGTCCTGTTTTGATTGCTGCTTCCGTGGGAAGCTATGGAGCTTATTTGGCTGATGGTTCAGAGTATAGGTAAGTGAATAGTTCTGATTACTTCATCTTGTTGGCAGAACGCAGGATCAGGGGACTCTGTTTCTCTAGGCCGACTTTGATTTTATTATACTGAAATTAAAATTTGGAAACAATTGTGGGAGGAAACAATTTTCTCACAATTTTGCTTTTGCACCCCATTTCCTGCAGTGGAGATTATGGTGATTCAGTTTCCCTGGAAGTGTTGAAGGATTTTCACAGGAGAAGAGTTCAGATTCTAGCCAAATCAGGCACTGACCTCATTGCATTTGAGACAATTCCAAACAAGTTAGAGGCTCAGGTATTTGCAAGTTGCAACTTAATCTATACCAACTTGATTAATTGCCCCATAACACTTGTATAGACATTGATTAGGATTATCTATTTTGGCGTTACCGATTGTTGTGATCTGAATTGAGTGTAGGCATATGCCGAGCTTCTTGAGGAAGAAGGCATAGATATTCCAGCATGGTTTTCTTTCAATTCCAAGGATGGAGTGAATATGGTGAGCGGTGATTCAATTGAAGAGTGTGCCTCTATTGCAGATTCATGCAATAAAGTTGTTGCTGTAGGAATCAACTGCACCCCTCCTCGATTTATCCTTGGATTGATTCAATCCATCAAGAAGGTACGAGAGTCGAATTCTTTCATTAAATTGTTTGCCCCCTTGATTAATTGGTACAAATAATTAACCATAATATGCTCGAAGAAAAAGAAGAGTTCATGCTTGCCAATAACTATCAATTTAAATACAGTATTGATCATGATCTGAAATATTTTATCTAAGTTTTTAAAATATATTTTAATGATTAAAGATTTAAATCTCTATATTAAAAGTTTCAAATTTAAATTTTTTGTTATATAATTTACCATTCATACAAAAATATTGTCCTAGCTAATGTTGATATTGATATAGGTGACAAGTAAACCAATTCTAGTGTATCCTAACAGTGGTGAGACATATGATGCCGAACTCAAGCAATGGGTGGTAAGTTTTTTGTTTTTCTATCTTTGAATTTTTCCAGGGACAAGACATACTTAACATTCATTGTTAGCTGAACAA